GAGCAGGAGCGGGAGCGGAGCGGGAAGCGAGCGGGGCTTCCTGCGGGAGCCGGCGGATAATCCTGGCCACTGGAAGGGCCGAACTATTAATATCCCTGTAGCCTGGAGGGGGGAAGTTTAATTGGAAAAGGAGAAAGGCTTCATTTCAACCCTGCTGCCGTGTGGGGAGGTGGGAGCCGTTGCTGGCTCCGCAGGTGCCTCTTTTTCTTCTTTTCCTACAATTCTGGTGCCTAGGGAGAGGCCTGCAGAGAGCAAGGGCAGCGCTCTGCACCCCGCTGGGTGCTGCAGCTCCGGATTAGCAGCCCCACGGCAGGACGGTGCTGCAGGGCTTGGAGCTGAGGGCTCGGGACACGTCTCCATCCCGGGGGACGGAGAGGGAGCCCTGGGGTCGGCCCCTCGTCCCCTGCAATGGAGCGGGCCGCGGTGCTGGAAACCCTCCCGTTCCACTTGTGCGCGGTGGGAAGAGGCAGCCCCAGGGAGCTGCATGGGGGATCCCCAGGCGAGCACAGTTTCCTTCCACCTTTTCACTCGTGGTTTTTGGCTCCTCGGGGTTTTCTGTCAGCAACCCAATTGCTTGAGCTCCATGCAATGCAGGCCGGAGAGCAGAGGCAGCCTGGCCTTCCTCCCCGGGCAGAGGCGTTAGATGGAATGAGCACAGCGGCCTCATCCCCGCGCGCCGTGCGGCTGCCCCGGCGCTGCCTCCCCTTTCCCTTATCCCAAGGCCGGCCGGGGGGACGCGCTCGGTGGGACCCTCGTGCTCCCGGCAGCCGCGCTGACACGGCTGCTGCTTTTCCCTTTTTCACACCTTCCTCCCCAGCACCCGGCCGTGCCGCTGTTTTTTTGCACCGGGCTGTGCTGCTGCCTCCTCCCTCTCTTCAACACCTCCTCCTCCTCCTCTGAGGCATTTTATCTCCTTTCTAGAGAGAAGCGTGTGGGTTGGGGATTTTTTTGTTCCCTTTTTTTTTCCCTTTTTTTTTTTTTTCTTCTTTGTCGTCTTTTTAATAACCCCCCTCTCTGCAGCTCTGTGAGCCAAGGGGCTGCTGGCACCATGCAGGACCGGGATGGCCCAGGGATGAGCAGACCCCCCTGCAGCGCCCGCCGTGGCCCTGTTGTCCCTTGGCCAAGCGCTGTCCCTTGCCAGCACCTACGTGGCACCTTCCTCAAACGGGTGGTGTCTCCAGGTGAGGACAGAGCCGAGAAGACCCCCGGGTTCCACGTGCGGGCTCGCTGCGATGGAGAGAGCTCTGGAAGGTGGAGGGGACCTTCCCGGTGCCCTGGGTTTCTTTTAGGACATAGAAGCTGTCATGGCCAATGCAACTCCCTGCAGTTTGGGCTTCGCTCCCTCCCTTGGGGTCCCATCGCGCTCGGACCGTAGGAGTCGATCTCTTGTTCTTCCCGTTGTCACCCCAGCTCCCTCCAGCCCCGCTCCTGGCAGCCGGCTTGGGGACCCGCCACGTTGTCCCCTGTGGCTCCTGCATGGCCGTGGGGCCCCTGGGAGGCTGTGGCTTTGCTGCCCCAGCCTTCACCTCCGCTGCTGCCCTTTGGGGTGGCCATGGGGCACCGTGAACCTGGGTCATTCCTGCAGTGGGTCCTTGCACCTCCAGCCACGCTCCCTTGCCTGGCTGCACCCACTGCAATTCCCCCAAGTTTCCCCCAATCTTCCCCATTTCCCTGTGCTCTGAGAGCCCTGCGGGGACCCTGTGTGTCTGGCAGGATCGTTGTTCGTGGCAGCGGGCCGGTCAGGCAGGCGGATGCTCAGCACTGCATCTGGGTTTCCCACTCCGAGCCCATAAAGTGGGAATTTCCCCACTGGGAAACTGCTGCTCTTGCGGAAGCCACATGATGCGTTGGAAACCATCCCAGTGGAAAATTCCCCACCGGCTTCGCGGTGCATTGACTTGTGCGCCCAGAAAAGCCCACCGGGGCTCGCAACTTACTCAGGAGCAGCCCCCGGTGCTCGGATGCACTCACACCTGCATCCTCCCGGCTTGGGGAAAGGTGGGTTGGATGCTGGGAGCCTGAGGAGCTGCCCTTGGCACCGGCTCTGATTGCACCAGGCCCCGCAGGAGGGAGAGCTGAGACCTGCCCCTGTGGGCAGGGATGGATGCGCCCGGCGGGGGCTGCGTCTCTGCAGCTCGCAGACCCGGTGCGGGGCTGGGATGGGCCCGTGTTCCCCCCGGCTTTGCTTGGAGCAACGCGTCTCGACACGGTCCATCGCGGTGCTGCTGCTTCTCTGGTACCTTCGGGGCCCTCCCGGCCCTTCCCCACGGCACCGTGGCCGACAGCTCCTCCCCTGCGGCCCCTCACGCCGTTTCTGCCAGGCCACGTCCCAGCAACCTCCCTTGGTGCCACCAAGCGGCACCCACGGGCCTCCATCCGCCGCCTCTCCTGCCCACCCTGCGATGTGTCCGCACGGGCCATGAAACCCCTGCAAGGAGCAGCTCCTGCACCGGCTCCCCGGGGACACTCATGTCCCTGCTGGCACCACCAGGCTCCACACCTGGACACTGGCTCCCTGCTCCGCTCCTGCATCCAGCACTGACGCAGCGACCAAGCTGGGCCAAGAGCACCCGGCCCCGAGGGGACACAGAGACACATTGACACATCCCGGGACCAGAGGTCCCTTCACTTCCAAGGGGCTGCGCGTTTGCAGCAGCAACCGGGTTGCCCATCTGCACGGGCAACATCAACCACGTCAGCCTGGCGCGCAGCCCTCCTCCCCGCTTCGCTCCTCTGGCTTTCTCCATCTTTTCCCTCTCCTTCCTCTCGCAATCCCCTTTCTCACACACCCACACACGTGCGGGCACCCATCTGGGCACGGGCTCGCCGTGCGGTGCGGGGATGCGGGGCTGGAGCGAGTTTCCCTGCCTACGGACGGACAGGGCTGCAGAAGCGAGCGGGATGCGCTCCGGCGTCCGCACGGACACCCGCTGCTCCCGAGCCTGCGCGCGGCGACCGCACACCCCAAAGCGACAGTTTGCACCCCAAAAGAGGCACCGAAACAGGGTTTTGTTTGGGAGTGAGCGAACGCTGCTCACTCGCGTCCCCCGATGCGCATCGGCTCGCAGGGCATCGCGCTGCCCGCG